GTAGGATAACGCTAACCTCTGGGGGCAGTTCCCTCGCTCTGTGTGAATAATATCATTCATTTTGGCATTAGCCGCTGTGAGGCGTGGTCTGGATCTGCTGAAAACCGAGAGAGCTGGGGCTTTCTACAGGACGCTCATTTATCAACACAGGATCCGTCCGCAAAACTCTGCCCAAACAAAAGAGCAACGTCCGTATTGGATTTCTCTCTCAGACTGGATTAAACTGCTCCTCTGTCCCCTAATTGCGACGGAGGTGAAGTGACGAGGACGAGGCGGATAGAGAGAGGGCTTGTTCAAAGGTCAGGGAGGGAGAGTCCAGCTGGCAGAGTGCAGTGTAGAGGGAGGGTTTCGTTCTGGAATGATGTGGAACAGAGATTCAATGATAGCAGCATTGTTATACATCTCTCTGGACTGTTTTAAGTTTAAGTTCAAGTTTATTAAGGAAAGCCCCTTGAGATGAATCATCTCATTTTTGAGGGGGTCCTAAACATAAATACAAACATATAAACAAACACACATACACAAAAAGCAATTTACAGCGAATTAAAGATGAGAAAAGTTAATTAAACACACACAAAGACAAACAAAACAAACAACAACAAAATATAACAAAACAAATGCTCCATCGCACCCCACTCCTCCCCTCTGCTGAAATTAAACATATAGGAAAGAAGAAAAAATAAAAAAATAAAAAAAAGTAAAACTATTAACAATAATGACACAGAACATTAGTGAAATAAACAAGGAGTTTCAAGAAACCTAAATAATTTAAACTTAAATAAACCAACAGACAGAATGGATCTTATGGATGTGGGGAGTTTATTCCAGTCTGATGGAGCCTTATATTGAAATGATCTGCGTCCAACTTCTTTAAAAACTCTTGGAACAGAAAAGGTGAGACAATCAGAGCTTCGGAGTGAAAAAGGTGTAGAGAAGGGGAAAAAAAACTGTTTTAAATACTGTGGACAACTAAAATGAATACATTTAAATAATAAGTGCATCCAGTGAAGGTGACGTCTGTTGTGAGGTTGAAGCCAGTGAAGGTTCTCGTACAGAGTGCAGTGATGTGTGTGATATGGACATTTGAGAATGAATCTACAAAGACAGTTAAAAAGTGTATTGAGTGGTTTGAGATGGGTGTGAAATGTGTTTTGATAAATGACGTCAGCGTAATCGATGATGGGGAGAACCAGTTGTGTTATGATGCGTTTTCTGACATTGAGGGTAAAGCAGTAAGTAAGTAAGTAAGTAAGTAAGTTTTTATTTATATACCGCCTTTTCACTGCAGATCAGAGTCTCAAAGCGGTTTACAATTGTTAATTTTGGGCATTTGTCTCTCACTCCACACAGAGATGGGAGCGGGGCCAGTACAGGAGGCACATGCCAGAACTATTGTACATATTTTTAGTGGTAGGGGAAACCGGAGTACCCGGAGGAAACCTACACAGACACGGGGAGAACATGCAAACTCCACTCAGAAAGGCCCTGGTCCGACCGGGATTCGAACCCAGGACCTTCTTGCTGAGAGGCGAGAGTGCTATCCACTCAGCCACCGTGCCGCCCGATGCCGCAGTGGGATGCCGCAGTGGGATGATCGGAATAATGGGCCCATTGTGGCGTAAGTTCTTTTGATGATGGAGTTGATGTGGTGTTTGAAGTTAAGTTCGGGGTCTAGCCAGAGGCCGAGATATTTGATTGTGTCTGCATTGAGCCTTTTGGAACCGTCGTTAAAGTGAATATGGAGATCTGGGGAGTGGAGTAATTTGTGATGAGAGCCAAACAGTATACAGCAAGATTTTTTCATGTTTAAAATTAATTTATTGTTTGAAAGCCAGGTTTGTATTGAGTTAAAATCGATTTGCAATAGATTTTGGAGAGATGTGATGTCTGAGTTTGAATTGTAAATAACGGTGTCATCGGCGTAGATATTTATGGAGCAGTTGGAAATGACGTTAGGGAGATCATTAATAAAAATGGAAAAAAGAAGGGGGCCTAATGTGGAACCCTGTGGAACACCTTTTTCAACTACAGTTCTCCCTGATTGTGCACCATGTGAAACAACATATTGAGATCGACAGTGAAGATATGAATTGAACCAGAGAATAGCATTTCTGTCAAGGCCTATTGCATACTTGCGTATTGCTGTTCTATCTGGGGCCCAGGAGAATACTATACCACAAAAGAAATGACATGCAACTGCCGGAACATGTGGTCCTCGGAGAATGATATTTCATAACCTACTGTTTTGGTTGGTGCTTATCGTAGCTGTATATCCATCATACACTGACGCTGTATGATGTTTTTATTTTGATCATATTTTTGTAAAGACCAATCTGACTTTAGCTAGGAATAACTGTAAGAGGGGACAGACCGGCTCCTCATTGGCTCGTTGGTTGCTAGGGTGTTGCTATGGGTCGAGATTCCCATTAGAATCTGTTTGAGTTGGAATATGTAGTAAGACAAATATGGGGGATGCCAGAGGACTATTCACTGCAGTCTGCCCGGGGAAGACAGACACCGGTGCAGATGAAGAGGTCGAATACAAGGGTCGAAAACGGGACAGAGGGTGAATAGCAATGAACAGACAACTCATAATGTTGACAGATAAAGTAGGAAGAGGGGAGCATAGTGCTGTTTCTATACTTTTCAACATGTGCAATATACAACCACCGAGTGTCTCCATATGCAGCTTGACAATCTGTGTTTTTATATTTAGGGTTTATTTCTGAACCTACACTGTACAATTTAGATTTATACCAATGATAATAATAATGCATCAGTTTTAAATAGAACTTTTTTGGACAGTCAAAGACGCTTCACATGTCACTCCATACACGGTGGTGATACACTACAAGCGTAGCCACAGCTGCCCTGGGGCACACTGACAGAAGTGAGGCAACCAGTCTGTGCCATCAGCCCCTCCCACCACCAACAACCATTCACACACACACCAGACTCATTCTAATGTGGGTGAAGTGTCTTTCCTAAGGACACAACCACAGTTTGGTTACAGCTGCAGCCGCCCCACTGTGGCACTTGGTATTACCAGAGGTCTCCCATCACAGTACTAACCAGACCCTACCCTGATTAGTTTCAGAGGTTTGAGTTTCACAACACTACACAGTATTGTATCATCCCAGTGTTACAGCAGGGCCATCAAGGCCATCAGGAAGCTGAACTCCCTGCCCTCCCTCCCACCCCTCTTCCCCCAACCCCCCGCTCCACAATCAAGGATGAGAGAAATATAATTTCAAACCATTCACTTGGTTTGACAAATAAAAATCTTGAAATCTTGAAATCACTACATGCCGCAGCCGCAGTCACTGTAATCTCACTGGTATGTAGTATTTATAGTATTTATAGTATCTGTAGTATCTTTAGTATCTGTAGTATCTGTAGTATCTGTAGTATCTATAGTATCTATAGTATCTGTAGTATCTGTAGTATCTATAGTATCTATAGTATCTGTATTATCTGTAGTATCTGTAGTATCTGTAGTACAGTATCATTAGTATCTATAGTATCTGTAGTATCTGTATTATCTGTAGTATCTGTAGTATCTGTAGTACAGTATCTATAGTATCTGTAGTATCTGTATTATCTGTAGTATCTGTAGTATCTGTAGTACAGTATCTTTAGTATCTGTAGTATCTGTAGTACAGTATCTTTAGTATCTGTAGTATCTATAGTATCTATAGTATCTGTAGTATCTGTAGTATCTGTAGTATCTGTAGTATCTGTAGTATCTGCAGTATCTATAGTATCTATAGTATCTATAGTATCTGTAGTATCTGTAGTATCTGTAGTATCTTTAGTATCTGCAGTATCTATAGTATCTATAGTATCTGTAGTATCTATAGTATCTGTAGCATCTTTAGTATCTGTAGTATCTGTAGTACAGTATCTTTAGTATTTGTAGCATCTATGGTATCTATAGTATCTGTAGTATCTGTAGTATCTCAGGGCTCTACATTAATGGTTGTCCGCTTGCCCGGGGACCTGCTCTGTTTCTCGTTTTTTGAATAATTATCTTCATTGGTAAATTCTCTGGATCAATGAAATGCATCTGGATAAACCAGGATTAAAAATGTTCCGTGGATCCGCGATTTATAACTTTTTTCCCCTGAAAACGTCATTTCTGTTAAATGTGTGACTGCGGGAACTTTCTGTTGTTTGCATTACACTCGAACGGCATTCACTTCCTCCGCTCTGCCCCAGGGCAGCTGTGGTCGCTTTGTGCCATAGACGCCGCGGGCAGGACCATAGACGCCACGGTCAGGACCATAGACTCCACGGTCAGGACCATAGACTTGAGGGCAGGACCATAGACTTGAGGGCAGGACCATAGACTTGAGGGCAGGACCATAGACGTGAGGGCAGGACCATAGACTTGAGGGCAGGACTATAGACGCCACGGTCAGGACCATAGACTCCACGGTCAGGACCATAGACTTGAGGGCAGGACCATAGACTTGAGGGCAGGACCATAGACGTGAGGGCAGGACCATAGACGTGAGGGCAGGATCATAGACGTGAGGGCAGGACCATAGACGTGAGGGCAGGACCATAGATGTGAGGGCAGGACCATAGACGTTGCGGGCCGGACCATAGACGCGCGTTCTAAACCATCCCAGTTTGTTGCAATTCCGGTATCCACCTGGTCTCCCCCAAAGAGCAACCAAACTCACAAAATTAAAGCTCGGGTACCTAAAATGTGCACCAATGTAAAATGGTGTGAAAAAATCCAATAGAACACACCACAACAGGCGTCTTGTTTTTTATGTTGCACACTTAAGAGCCCAGGGAGTCATTGGACACTGGCCTCCAGCTGGGACTCTTTTTAAATCTTTTGTGAGGCCTAGTGTAACAATGTTGTTATACTTAAACATGTTTAATGATTGCTTGATTGATCGATCGGAAGGTCAAACTCGTGGGCCAAGTTCGGACCTCCTAAAATTATATTAAATTATTATATGTTGTTTTTGACACAGAGTACCCACCATCGCTGCAGACGTGGGGCCCCAGGGCATCGGACCCCAGTGCATCGGGCCCCAGGGCATCAGGGGACGGCGTGTGTGCGGAGCGAGTGCTGAGCGAGTCCAGGCTGTCGAGTGAGTCGTCGCGGGCGTGAGCGGGAGGAGAGAGGGAGTCGCTGCGCTCCGACTCCCAGCTGTCGATGTAGCCACTGTCCCTGGTGCTGCGAGCCACGCTGTCCGCCTCCTCCACCTCCTGCAAAACACACCCAACTCAGTGTGTGTGTGTGTGTGGGGGGGCCGCAGGAGGCGGTGGGGTCTGGGTGAAGCTGGGACGTGTTAAGGGTTATGTTTACCATGTGTTTGTGTGTGTGTGTGCAGAACATACCAACAATATATGAAAAATAAATATCAGAAAAACACAATTTCCTCTCTGCTTCTTATAACCATATGTTCTTTATGCTTCTCTCTCTCTCCAAACACACCGTCAATAGATCCAACAGGAACCCAGACCCCCTCACCCTCCTCCTCCTTTTCCTCCCCTCTCCTCTTCCTCCTCCTCCTCCTCCTCAGACAACACTTAAACTCTGTCCCACTCAAATCTCCAGATACTTTTTCCCTTCATAAACCGCTCCCTGGATAAGCCGTATGAAAACACTCCGGTACAGTAAGATTGATTGACTGTTGCCCACGGTGACCTTCTGTCTGTGGTTGAGAGTGAGCAGAGCGGGCGCGAGGGGAGGGTCTCTTCCTGTCTGAACCATAACTTCCTGATTCTGACCCTTTGACTCTATAAAGTACCAGTGTTTTGCTACAATGGGACTTCTCTGTCACTGGTCTCCACTTCTACTCGGCAGGCTGCACTGTCACACTATGGACAGCAGGGGGCTCCAACCTGAGGATTGGGAGTCAACAGCTACTAGCCATGGATCTATTATAATAACTGGATAGGGTATTACTAGCTTGGAGCTGAAGAACCCATGTGCTAGGGGGATTCTCGCGGTACTGCAGACTAGACCAGACTAAATTCACGTGGGCTACCCAGAGATTTTTCCCATAGAACTCAATGTAAACTAAAACAGCTCGACCTCAGCTGACAGAGAACCTACAGCTTTCATAAAGGTCGGATTTTGTAGGATTTTAGTGTCCCTTGTCATCCTGAACTTTTTTTCTTCTTAAATCCTTCGGTTTTCTTTAAATCCACACTTCCACCCACTCTAATTTTCGCTCTAACTCCGCTCTGTTCAGAAGCACTGATTCGTAGGAGAGCCACACATGCGTATTTGGCGCAGAGCATCATGGGAGCTCATTAACTGCGCAGAACCGGGAGGACCAGACGATGCCCAAATTCTGTTTATCTACAACTGAGAAAATGTTATCTTTACTTTTTTGAATGTTCTTGTTTTGTTCAGCACTTTGAGTTGCCTGAACTGTGCTATATAAAACAACTTGCCTTTATATAGACTACAATTGTATCACGACTGCTAAAGGAGTAGCTCACGAAAGGTTGGAGACTCCGGATCTAACGTTTGTTTTCAAATGCAGCTGATTGGATTTGAAGGTTTCAACATCTGGGGATTTAGATTTTTTTGCTGAGTCGGCAAATAGTGCAGAAGAATGTGTTGGAGGTGATATCATGGATACAGTGGTTCTCATGGGTGGAGTGCGCGTTTGTTTCAGTGTGTGTGTGTGTGTGTGTCTATTTTAGTGTGTGTGTGTGTGTTGGAGGTGTGTCTCTGCTGATGCTGCATTAGTACAGAGCAGCTGTGGAAAATGGAAGAACAAAGCAGAGACGACCAGAACGAGTCTGAAGCTGGGACTCAGTGTGTTCAGACCAGAGCCCTGAGTTTTTTTAAAGATAGATATAAAAAAGCAGCAGTTTTATTTGTACATGAGCTTTAGGGAAAGTGCAATAACATACTGCATCTGACGTTTACTGAAGTGTAAGGATGGAATGATTAGGGTTGCAAAGGGGCGGAACATTTACAATCAATTTCTGGGAAGATTTCCAGTACATTTCCACGGGAAGTTCAGCTGGAGAATTTTGGAAATATTGCATAATGAAAAAAACATGAAAAAACAGTTTCTCTCCAAAACACCCACATTAAACAAGCTTATTTAGCATCTAACTTATCAGCTCGCTATCTACTAGATGAATATGTTAGAGAGGTCTCTGATGGTGCTCTGGTCCTAGAGGTCTCTGATGGTGCTCTGGTCCTAGAGGTCTGTGATGGTGTTCTGGTCCTAGAGGTCTGTGATGGTGTTCTGGTCCTAGAGGTCAGTGATGGTGCTCTTGTACTGGTCCTAGATGTCTCTGGTGTAAATGTATATGGTGTCTGTGTAAACCATGTGAACCCACAAGATACATTTCTCACATTATAAGTTGTATAAATACTGTGCAGCTGTTTGCAAGTGGCTTCCAGACAGTCTCACACAAATGAAGAAATGCTTACAGCTGGAATTGCCTGTTTGTTGCCCGATTGTTGCCTGATAGTTGCCTGTTTGTTGCCTGATTATTGCCTGATTGTTGCCTGATAGTTGCCTGTTTGTTGCCTGATTATTGCCTGATTGTTGCCTGATAGTTGCCTGATTGTTGCCTGATTATTGCCTGATTGTTGCCTGATAGTTGCCTGATTATTGCCTGATTGTTGCCTGATAGTTGCCTTTTTGTTGCCTGATGATTGCCTGAAAGTTGCCTGATAGTTGCCTCATAGTTCCATTTGTTGACTAATTATTGCCTGATTGTAGCCTGATTGTAGCCTGATTGTTGTCTGATTGTTGCTTCATTGTAGCCTGATTGTTTTCTGATTGTTGCCTGATTGTAGCCTGATTGTTGTCTGATTGTAGCCTGATTGTAGCCTGATTGTTGCCTGATTGTTGTCTGATTGTAGCCTGATTGTTGCCTGATAGTTGTCTGATTGTAGCCTGATTGTAGCCTGATTGTTGCCTGATTGTTGTCTGATTGTAGCCTGATTGTTGCCTGGTAGTTTCCTATTTGTTTCCTGATTGTTGCCTGATTGTTGCCTGATAGTTTCCTGTTTGCATCTACCTTTTGCATCTGTGACAGCAGGTCTTCAAACTGGCCCAGGTCCAGAGTGGGCCCGCTGTAGGAGGGACAGGCGTTAGCAGCACGACCCAGATGGTACAGAGTGATCAGAACCTGCAGCAGAAAGAGAGACATGAGACACACGAGAGAAACTGTAGGACATTCAAAACACTGCAGCTCCAGTCCGGACTAGAACCAGGAAGTACCATCTCATCGGTCCTGGTCTCAAGTCTCTGCACCTGTGGCTCCGAGAATAGTTTTTAAAGCAGCTCTGTTTGTTACAAGTCTCTCCATGGCCTCGAACCAAAGTACATCTGTGACATGTTAGTGCCATAAGAACCAACTCTGAGGAGCACAGGGACTGGCCTCCTGCTGGGACTCAGAGGAGCACAGGGACTGGCCTCCTGCTGGGACTCTGAGGAGCACAGGGACCGGCCTCCTGCTGGGACTCTGAGGAGCACAGAGACCGGCCTCCTGCTGGTTCCAGAGTCAGGACTAAACATAAGGAGGCAGCGTTTCAGATTTATGCAGCTACACTGGAACAGTCTTCCTGAAAATATGTGAGACAGAGTTCTTCTTTGATATTGTTCAAATCCAGGTTAAAAACAGTTCTGTTTCGCTGTGCTACAACTGAGGGATTGTATCTTTACTCTTTTTAATGCACTGTGATTATTTATGTTGTGTCTATCTTGTTTTGTTCAGCACTTTGAGTTGCCTTGTGTATGAACTGTGCTATGCAAATAATCATGCCTTGCCCTGCCTAGTAATGTTGTCACACACCTGCTAAAATACCCAAACTCACCGAACATTAACAACAAAACAGGCTCTCTGACATCAAGCGAAGACAGCACCAGTCCCAGTTTTCTCCTTTAGTACTGAATGTATTTATGTATGTGTTACAGGGGTGTGAAGGACGCACCAGTGAAGCCACGACGACTCAAAGTCAACTGAGTTTTTTCTGATATTTGTTTGTCTCCACACGTGGATTAGCCTGGCCTTAGCCATCCGTACACTCAATCATCATTTCCTGCATGTAACGTCTGGGTCTGGTCCCTCTGTTTGCGATTACAATCGGTTGTATTCTATCCGACCAATCAGCGAGCGCGGGAGGCGGGTGTTGTAGTTAGAAGAATGCGATAGTAAAGTAATCCGGTCTGGTTCTATCAAGAAATTGAAGCCGGAGCAAGAGGAATGTTTAGCAAATGTAATCGCTGGCAAAGACTGTGGCGCTACTCCCCACGGGTTTCGTTAGCGGCAAAGGAGATGGCTAGGCTAAATGCTAAATGCTAACGACAGACTCGGGCGCATTACAAACGTCACGGTAAACTCAGATCCAGTCGTTTCAATCTGCAGGAGTTAACCCCTCCCACCTGTTAACAGAGCTCAATAGAGCACTTCCAGACCTTAATACAAAATGTAATTCGTACTATGGTGTGGTACGACCAGGCTACATGTGAATGACCTGGGGATGGATTTATGTATTCATCCATCCAGGTAAACACACCACAGCCGGACGCAGCATCGGTCAGACACAGGACAGTAGCATCAGAAGTGAACTTAAGAACAGAGGGGCAATGCTGATCTTTCTGTGAGTAAGTAAGAAAGTAAGTCATCTTCTTTTCTTTTTATATGGCGCATTTTTAAGTCACCCAAAGCGCTTTACAAAGAGTTCACAAACTCCATTCCCTCTACACGTCCAAAAGCGAGACGCCAAACACACTGTTGCATCAAAATCTCTGACCAAACACCATCCATTCTCTCATTACATTCAAACCTATTATACATGTTTTGAGTGGTAGAGGAAACAGGAGCACCCGGAAGAAACCTGCGCACACACGGGGAGAACATGCAAACTTCACTCAGAAGGGCCCTGTTCCGACCAGGATTCGAACCCTTCTTGTTGAGAAGCGAGAGAGCTAACCACTCAGCCACCGTGTTGCCCAGAGTCAAGGCTTGTCGTGATCAAGCCGTACACTTCTAAATATTGGTGTAAAAACGATTGAATGAAAGATTACGTAAACAATATAATTCCACCGCCTTGTTTTAAGTTATGTGGGAGAAAAACCCAGTTTGCAGATTCTAATTCTGTTTGTGATAAATAAGTGTCTCCAATGTTAAGGAGCGCTCACTTTGTCACACACACAGAACACAGTCCTTACAATCTGGGCTGGAAAAGGTGTTTTTTTTTCATACGCTTTCAGTGACATTCAATACATATTATATTCCTGCCTCCTTTAACTCATCCGCTGTCATGAAGGGCGACATGTTAGCATTAGCATCCTGTATAAACAAGACAAGACAAGGGCTTTGTGGGTCCCTGCTCTGGCGACACTACAGCAGTGAGACGTCCTGTTCCCTGCTGCCTCTGATGGATGCTGCTGCAAACAGAACCAGGTCAGAGCCGATTCACACAATGCAGCTCGGACCTGGCTCCGAGAACAGGGATCATAGATAGATAGATACAGTAGATAAATAGATAAAAACAAACAAAAGAAACCAGCAGCAGAGGTGGAGCCGCTTGGTTTGGACCATTTTCTCTGCTCTGGTCCAAAGTAAAAGGCTGAATGCTTTGTTAGCATTTGTCAAAAAGTTAAAAGATGGCTGAGGCTGAAGCATAATTTAGACTTTCGTTCTGTTCAAACCAAAAGCTCTGTCAACCTCACGCTACAGCATCATAAGCTACATTTAGTTTGTATTTATATTTTTGGGGAAAGTCACTTCAAAGTATTGCAGCAGTAGTGTCATACTGGCTGAAAATGCATAATAAAGAAGGAATATATGTATAAGTCGCATTTTTCATATAGCTTAATTTGATATTTTACTGTAAATAAAATATAAAATGCAATAATTTCACACATAAGTCGCTCCAGAGTATAAATCGCAGCCCCCGGCCAAACTATGACAAAAATGGCGACTTATGAAAAATACGGTAATATTGTAGCTGCAATACGTTTACTTTTGAATGCGCTGGAAATGGCTGCAAGTAGCTCTGAAATAATAGCTGTTTTGTGTTTTAGAATTATTATTTTTCTTGCTTTTTTCTGCCTGAGTTGTTGCTGCAGTCAGTGTTCATGGTTTTTACACTGGTCCAAACCAGAGTGGAGCGGATTTATGGTCTGAACCAAGTAGATCAGGTAAAAATCCACTGGAGGAATGCTAACTTAATGAAAAATGCTAACAAAGCATTCAGCGTTTTACTTTGGACTAGAGCAGAGAAAATGGTCCGAATGTCTATCTATCTATCTGTCTCTGTCTGTCTATCTCTGTCTATCTATCTGTCTACTTAGCTCTGTGTGTCTCTCTGTCTGTCTGTCTGTCTGAAAGAGTAAAACTAACATTTTGAGAACCAAGCGACCACAACATACTGTCTTTGACTAAGTACAAAACATGTTATCTTTATGAACCTTGTAAGAAATAGCTCTGGGAGTCACTATTTGACTCTTTGAGCTGAGATCTGACTGGCTGACTCAGAGTGATCCTCTATTTTTCCCTTTACCTTATGCCAGGCCAAACATGTGCAAACTAGTGAAAGAACCTAATTGTGAAAAAACTAGATGTATTACTATTACCTACAATTATTACATGACTATTTTCTATGTTCAGTGGTTTGAAAGTTAGGTACCCCAGCTTTAAATACACAATCTTGAAATGGAAAACGCACTGAGGGATTTTATATTTTTAATGAATCAGGCCGCAGACCAAAGCAACCTCTTTTACAACATCCAGTTCATTCATGTTCTATTTAAAGATCTTTTCACAGCGGGTAAGAACTGGGTCAGTTCTGGTGCGAACGGTACAATTATTGACCTTATTGAGTGAGCGGCCTCCATCTACACACGAGGATCTACACCGCACAAACCAGAAGCGAGGCAACCAGTCGGTGCCATCAGCCCCTCCCACCACCGCCACCTATTCACAGGTGAGTGAAAAGTGCTGTCTAAGGACACAGTCACAGTTTGACACCTCACAGCCGCAGCAACTGTGGCACCTGGTGTTCCCAGAGGTCTCCCATCACAATACTGTCCAGGCCCTGCCCTGCTTAGTTTCAGAGGTCCTGCCTTTCACCGGTAGGGATGGCCATCATACACAAAAAACAGTGAGTCACTATCAGACTAAATTTCCACCAGAGAAAATCAAGCGCTAGTTACCATAGCAACACACGATTTACTGTCAGAAGTTAGCGTTAGCCTTCAGCTGTATTTCAGTTATTCACCTGTTTTAGCACTTAATTAAAAGCGAGTAAAGGTTAAAACATGATACATTTTTATTTTGTTTATGAATCTGGCACAAAAATTAAACATTCTTTGAGGTGAATTTCTCAGTATCCCATTGATTTGAAAAGGAGCAGTCAAAATGAGTTCTGGAAGTCCTGGTGTCAAGTCACAGGCAAAGTGTGCACAGACCAGTTCTGGAAGTTTCCTTTGTTTGACCTGAGCTTCAGGGCAGAGTATCTGAGAGTTCTTCAAACACAATGCAAAGACTCCTCCTGCTCTGAACCTCAAACACAAACTGCATCATGACATTTCTGTCCAACATCCACCAGATACTTTTGTGCCCTGTGCCGTTAGCAATAGCATCATCACCATAGTTACCACATCAGCAGATTCTTCAAGGTGCAGAGTGGTCGCTGCAGAAGTGGGACACTATAGATCCATAGAAGCTAGTGATAAAGAGCGAGCTACAGCAGCGAGTTACAGCAGCGAGTTACAGCAGCGAGCTACAGCAGCGAGCTACAGCAGCGAGCTACAGCAGCGAGCTACAGCAGCGAGCTACAGCAGCGAGCAAGAGGAGGGAGCATGCTGAGCTGGAGGATGGAGAAACGAGTGCTGAGCTCCAGGAGCCGGTAGCAGCAGAAGCAGCAGCAGCAGCCTCGGTGTAAAGGGGAGGGAGGGTGAGTGTGCGTGGGGGAGGGAGGGTGAGTGTGCGAGGGGGAGGGAGGGTGAGTGTGCGTGGGGGAGGGAGGGTGAGTGTGCGTGGGGGAGGGAGGGTGAGTGTGCGAGGGGGAGGGAGGGTGAGTGTGCGTGGGGGAGGGAGGGTGAGTGTGCGAGGGGGAGGGAGGGTGAGTGTGCGTGGGGGAGGGAGGGTGAGTGTGCGAGGGGGAGGGAGGGTGAGTGTGCGTGGGGGAGGGAGGGTGAGTGTGCGAGGGGGAGGGAGGGTGAGTGTGCGAGGGGGAGGGAGGGTGAGTGTGCGAGGGGGAGGGAGGGTGAGTGTGCGTGGGGGAGGGAGGGTGAGTGTGCGAGGGGGAGGGAGGGTGAGTGTGCGTGGGGGAGGGAGGGTGAGTGTGCGAGGGGGAGGGAGGGGTGAGTGTGCGTGGGGGAGGGAGGGTGAGTGTGTGTGGGGGAGGGAGGGTGAGTGTGCGAGGGGGAGGGAGGGTGAGTGTGCGTGGGGGAGGGAGGGTGAGTGTGCGAGGGGGAGGGAGGGTGAGTGTGCGAGGGGGAGGGAGGGTGAGTGTGCGAGGGGGAGGGAGGGTGAGTGTGCGAGGGGGAGGGAGGGTGAGTGTGCGTGGGGGAGGGAGGGTGAGTGTGCGTGGGGGAGGGAGGGTGAGTGTGCGAGGGGGAGGGAGGGTGAGTGTGCGAGGGGGAGGGAGGGTGAGTGTGCGTGGGGGAGGGAGGGTGAGTGTGCGAGGGGGAGGGAGGGTGAGTGTGCAAGGGGGAGGGAGGGTGAGTGTGCGTGGGGGAGGGAGGGTGAGTGTGCGAGGGGGAGGGAGGAGTGTGTGCGGTGGGGGAGGGAGGGTGAGTGTGCGAGGGGGAGGGAGGGTGAGTGTGCGAGGGGGAGGGAGGGTGAGTGTGCGGGGGGAGGGAGGGTGAGTGTGCGAGGGGGGGGGGAGGGTGAGTGTGCGTGGGGGAGGGAGGGGGAGTGTGCGTTGGGGAGGGAGGGGGAGTGTGCGTGGGGGAGGGAGGGTGAGTGTGCGTGGGGGAGGGAGGGTGAGTGTGCGAGGGGGAGGGAGGGTGAGTGTGCGTGGGGGAGGGAGGGTGAGTGTGCGAGGGGGAGGGAGGGTGAGTGTGCGTGGGGGAGGGAGGGTGAGTGTGCGTGGGGGAGGGAGGGTGAGTGTGCGTGGGGGAGGGAGGGTGAGTGTGCGTGGGGGAGGGAGGGTGAGTGTGCGTGGGGGAGGGAGGGTGAGTGTGCGAGGGGGAGGGAGGGTGAGTGTGCGTGGGGGAGGGAGGGTGAGTGTGCGAGGGGGAGGGAGGGTGAATGTGCGTGGGGGAGGGAGGGTGAGTGTGCGTGGGGGAGGGAGGGTGAGTGTGCGAGGGGGAGGGAGGGTGAGTGTGCGAGGGGGAGGGAGGGTGAGTGTGCGTGGGGGAGGGAGGGTGAGTGTGCGTGGGGGAGGGAGGGTGAGTGTGCGTGGGGGAGGGAGGGTGAGTGTGCGAGGGGGAGGGAGGGTGAGTGTGCGTGGGGGAGGGAGGGTGAGTGTGCGAGGGGGAGGGAGGGTGAGTGTGCGTGGGGGAGGGAGGGTGAGTGTGCGTGGGGGAGGGAGGGTGAGTGTGCGTGGGGGGGGGGGGGGTGAGTGTGCGTGGGGGAGGGAGGGTGAGTGTGCGTGGGGGAGGGAGGGTGAGTGTGCGTGGGGGAGGGAGGGTGAGTGTGCGAGGGGGAGGGAGGGTGAGTGTGCGTGGGGGAGGGAGGGTGAGTGTGCGTGGGGGAGGGAGGGTGAGTGTGCGTGGGGGAGGGAGGGTGAGTGTGCGTGGGGGAGGGAGGGTGAGTGTGCGAGGGGGAGGGAGGGTGAGTGTGCGTGGGGGAGGGAGGGTGAGTGTGCGAGGGGGAGGGAGGGTGAGTGTGCGAGGGGGAGGGAGGGTGAGTGTGCGAGGGGGAGGGAGGGTGAGTGTGCGAGGGGGAGGGAGGGTGAGTGTGCGTGGGGGAGGGAGGGTGAGTGTGCGTGGGGGAGGGAGGGTGAGTGTGCGAGGGGGAGGGAGGGTGAGTGTGCGAGGGGGAGGGAGGGTGAGTGTGCGTGGGGGAGGGAGGGTGAGTGTGCGAGGGGGAGGGAGGGGTGAGTGTGCGAGGGGGAGGGAGGGTGAGTGTGCGTGGGGGAGGGAGGGTGAGTGTGCGAGGGGGAGGGAGGGTGAGTGTGCGTGGGGGAGGGAGGGTGAGTGTGGAGGGGGAGGGGGAGGGAGGGTGAGTGTGCGAGGGGGAGGGAGGGTGAGTGTGCGTGGGGGAGGGAGGGTGAGTGTGCGGGGGGGGGGAGGGTGAGTGTGCGTGGGGGAGGGAGGGGGAGTGTGCGTTGGGGAGGGAGGGGGAGTGTGCGTGGGGGAGGGAGGGTGAGTGTGCGTGGGGGAGGGAGGGTGAGTGTGCGAGGGGGAGGGAGGGTGAGTGTGCGTGGGGAGGGAGGGGGAGTGTGCGAGGGGGAGGGAGGGTGAGTGTGCGAGGGGGAGGGAGGGTGAGTGTGCGTGGGGGAGGGAGGGTGAGTGTGCGTGGGGGAGGGAGGGGTGAGTGTGCGAGGGGGAGGGAGGGTGAGTGTGCGTGGGGGAGGGAGGGTGAGTGTGCGAGGGGGAGGGAGGGTGAGTGTGCGTGGGGGAGGGAGGGTGAGGTGTGCGTGGGGGAGGGAGGGTGAGTGTGCGAGGGGGAGGGAGGGTGAGTGTGCGAGGGGGAGGGAGGGTGAGTGTGCGTGGGGGAGGGAGGGTGAGTGTGCGAGGGGGAGGGAGGGTGAGTGTGCGTGGGGGAGGGAGGGTGAGTGTGCGTGGGGGAGGGAGGGTGAGTGTGCGTGGGGGAGGGAGGGTGAGTGTGCGAGGGGGGGGGGAGGGTGAGTGTGCGAGGGGGAGGGAGGGTGAGTGTGCGAGGGGGAGGGAGGGTGAGTGTGCGGGGGGGGGGAGGGTGAGTGTGCGAGGGGGAGGGAGGGTGAGTGTGCGAGGGGGAGGGAGGGTGAGTGTGCGTGGGGGAGGGAGGGTGAGTGTGCGTGGGGGAGGGAGGGTGAGTGTGCGGGGGGGAGGGGGGGGAGTGTGCGTGGGGGGGGGAGGGGGAGTGAGTGTGCGAGGGGGAGGGAGGGTGAGTGTGCGTGGGGGAGGGAGGGTGAGTGTGCGTGGGGGAGGGAGGGTGAGTGTGCGTGGGGGAGGGAGGGTGAGTGTGCGTGGGGGAGGGAGGGTGAGTGTGCGTGGGGGAGGGAGGGTGAGTGTGCGAGGGGGAGGGAGGGTGAGTGTGCGAGGGGGAGGGAGGGTGAGTGTGCGAGGGGGAGGGAGGGTGAGTGTGCGTGGGGGAGGGAGGGTGAGTGTGCGAGGGGGAGGGAGGGTGAGTGTGCGTGGGGGAGGGAGGGTGAGTGTGCGTGGGGGAGGGAGGGTGAGTGTGCGTGGGGGGAGGGAGGGTGAGTGTGCGTGGGGGAGGGAGGGTGAGTGTGCGTGGGGGAGGGAGGGTGAGTGTGCGAGGGGGAGGGAGGGTGAGTGTGCGTGGGGGGAGGGAGGGTGAGTGTGCGTGGGGGAGGGAGGGTGAGTGTGCGTGGGGGAGGGAGGGGGCCGGGCCAGAGCCACAGTGAACCACTTTTGAAGAAAGCAACAGAAATACTGTTTATAGATAACTTTATGTGAAGAGGAAAAGATGGTAGCACATGACAGATTTGGTCACGTTTAACCATAAACATAATGTAATACGTATAATAACACTGATATACGTCTTTAGGAGTCTCCATTAGACTAAAATATATATTGCTTAATTTATAGTACATTCCACTTCTTCGCTAACTGTGGTTTTTTATCCATGTGTTTGTGATTTATTCGTCTAACTGACTTTGTTAACCATTGTCCTCCTCTCTAAGCAGGGTCCAAGCCCCAGGTCTCCAACACGTGTCCATTCAGATCTGTGGCCTCTGCTCATTGGTCGTGCAGCTCTGGTCCTCATGGTCTGGTCCTCCTGGTCTGGTTCCCCTGGTCTGGTTTCTCTGGTCTGGTTCCTCTGGTCTGGTCCTCATGGTCTGGTCCTCCTGGTCTGGTCCTCCTGGTCTGGTTCTCCTGGTCTGGTCCTCCTGATCTGGTCCTCCTGGTCTGGTCCTCCTGGTCTGGTCCTCCTGGTCTGGTCCTCCTGGTCTGGTCCTCCTGGTCTGGTCCTCCTGGTCTGGTCCTCCTGGTCTGGTCCTCCTGGTCTGGTTCCTCTGGTCTGGTCCTCATGGTCTGGTCCTCCTGGTCTGGTCCTCCTGGTCTGGTCCTCCTGGTCTGGTCCTCCTGGTCTGGTTCTCCTGGTATGGTCCTCCTGGTCTGGTCCTCCTGGTCTGGTCCTCCTGGTCTGGTCCTCCTGGTCTGGTCCTCCTGGTCTGGTCCTCCTGGTCTGGTGCAGTAAAGTGCTGTTGTTCTACTTCTTCAGGACTATTGTCACACTTGATTGTTCTGACCAATCAGAGAGGAGCTGAATCCGAGCTGACTAAAGAAAACTAATGGATTTTGATATTTCAGGATGTTATGCTCTCCCCAAACCTGCGACACTGTCCGACTGTGGGGGACTTTTATCAGAAATGGTCGTTTCAAATCCAATTGTCAATTATCCATCCATCCATCCATTTTCTACCCTTTAATCCATTTCTGGGTCAGGGGGGTGGCAGTCAGAGATGCCACCCAAGTCTCATAGCACCAGCCCCTCACTGACCCTCTGCAGGTGGTGAGTCCACAGGAGGACGGCTGCTCTCTGAGTGTGAGCATAGCCTTGATCTTTCAGTGGGGGCTTTGGGCAAAGTGGGGTTAAGTGTCTTGCCCAAGGACACAACGACAGCAGTCATCAGTGGGAGTCGGTGGAGAAGGTGCAGAGGTGGGAATTGAACCCACGACCTTCTGGCCTTAAGGCCAATGCTCTACCAACTGAGCTACTGTCGCCCAATTGTCAATTATGTTTGTAGATATTTTGGGACCACAGTTTCTGATGACTCAAACAGACAAACAGCTGTTGAACTTTCTTGTTTCTTTCTAAACTACGTATGTATTTCTGATTCTTTTGCTTTGTTTTGTTTGTTTATGATATTGTATTTTGATATGCAGCACTTTGAGTTTGCCTGGAAATGTAAGGTGCAAGATAAATAAAATAAATTATTGTTATTATTTTATCATTATGACCCTCCTGGTGCAGAGACATGATGGACACATGGATATGAAAGTGGCACAATAACAGCTTGTGTTCAGAGTACTCCACATCACAGGGAAATCAGAGGTACTTACATTCTGGAGCTTGCAGCTGTCGTTTCCTCTGTGACACAAAAAAAAAATTCAATTAGTGAAAGCATCTGACTCCGACAATCCAAAACACAATTCAACATGTTTTCATTTGCAGTGTGACAGTGTGACAGTGTGGCAGTCCCCTCATGTCATTTCCTGACTTGCACATGACACCAATGAAGCCACAGGTCGGTGCCACGTGATTCAAAGCAAAGAAAATGGTCTATGGCAGGGGTGGCCAACCAGTCAGAGACTAAGAGCCAATTTTTTTACTGTATTACAGCAAAGAGCCACATCATACAAATGTGCACTACATAAACATCACCCCAACCCTTACACACGCACGCACACGCGCACGTACGCACTCGAGCAGACACGCGCACACACATGCAATCTGTCTGAGCAGAGAGAGGTGTGCTCTGCTCAGACAGATTTATTGTAAATGTCATCAACATGATAATGACAGAAATTGACTCGTACAGTACTAAAGGGCTGGACTCGACTCTCCCTGGTTTGCAGGCGCTTCTACCGCTCGCTTCAACCGCTCCCCGGTACTTTTTATTAATGGTTTGGCCCTGGTTCTAACCGGGCGAGTCGATACCAGAACAATTTCACGTCAGCGAACATCAATTATGATTCCGAAATGAATGCTTTCAATCTCTAACCAAGAAAAAAAATCGAGTTTCAACCCAGTGTTCAGCAGAAACACAACTGTCTTTATGGAACAATGACTGCGTTTAGTAAAAGATATAGATGTGACCCATAACACCAACACCACTTTAGCTGATTTAGAACCACAGACACATGTTCAGTATACGACCAGATACTTTTGCATTTGATTGAAGACAGACACTCACCAGGCAGAGTTGAGGCTTATCTCCTGGTGTAGCTGGTGCTAGCTGGTTTTAGCATGTTAGCTGGAGTTAGCCGATGTCCGTAAATTTAATCCATTTGGTCAAACCACCTCCAGACTTTTCGGTTCTGCCTCTACTTCTGCTGCTGCGATCTTTCATTTCACGGTTGTCACTTTTAAGCTTTTTAATTTTTCTCTGCATTGTGATGTTCGTGGGAATCATTCTGCTCCGTCCTTAGTGCTAGCTCCACAAACACCTTCTGGTTTCTGGTGGAACCATCGAGCTCACACTGGTGTCCTCTCCTCAAACTGAGGAAGGTGTTGCCCTCATCCAGCGACCAAGGAACTGTTTTCCGTACGGACGCCATGGGTCGAGGCAACGTGTTGTTTGTTATGATATTTGCAACAGCTGAGGCAGCAGCTGCAGAGTGATTGACCAATCAGAATTGACGTTCGCCGACGTCAGATTGTTTTGGCGGCCCGGCTAGTGGAGTGAAGTCGGCCTTTACTATGGGTCAGAACAATGAATGGCAGCGCCACCACCGAGGTGTTTTTGACGCTTGTCATGTGAAAGCCCAAGAGCCGCACGGAACCAGCCAAAGAGCCGCATGCGGCTCACGAGCCGCGGGTTGGCCACCCCTGGTCTATGGTCTATCCATCCGTCTGTCCATCCGTCTGTCCATCCGTCTATCCATCCATCCATCTACCCATCCATCCATCCATCCATCTGTCCATCCATCCATCTCATCCCATCTATCCATCTGTCTGTCCATCCATCCATCCATCCATCCATCCATCTACCCATCCATCCATCCATCTGTCCATCCATCCATCTCATCCCATCCATCCATCCGATCTATCCATCCATCCATCCATCTATCCATCTATCCATCCATCTCATCCCATCCATCCATCCATCCATCCGTCCATCCATCCATCTATCCATCCATCTCATCCCATCTATCCATCCATCTCATCCCATCCATCCATCCATCCATCTGTCCATCCATCCATCTCATCCCATCCATCCATCTATCCATCCATCCATCCATCCCATCTATCCATCCATCTACCCATCTACCCATCCATCCATCCATCCATCCATCCATCCATCCCATCTATCCATCCATCTACCCATCTACCCATCCATCCATCCATCCATCCATCCATCCGTCCCATCTATCCATCCATCTCAGCGGACTTGTGGCTGAGTTTACATTCATTGGTATGAATGTAATTGAGAGAGTGAATGGATTATGTTGATTGGGGCTTTGATGCTCCAGTGTGTTCGGTGTCTCGCGTCCGTCATCACCGCCTGGAGTGTTTGGAACAACACAGATACGAGTACTATATTGTGTTATCCCTGGGAATTCATAAAACTAATACAACTGAAATTTAAAAATGTTTTAAATTTTCACAATCAAAATATCCAAACAAAAACACGTGCATACAAATATGAAAATGCATAAAAAAGGCCCGGGCTGCAGGTCAGCAGTAGGCCTTCCTGAACCGCTCAGGGCCCGCAGGTCTGTGGCAGAGCGTTCCACAGGTGTTGAGCTGCTACAGAAAACGTCCCGTCTCCCATGGAATGAAGCCGTGTGATTGGCTGACTGAGACGGTGGGTGTTTATGGACTGGGGGGATTATGATGTGGGCCGTAGGGTGAGGAGGTATTCAGGTATTCTGAAGCGTTACTGTGGATGCATTGGTGAGTGTAGAGGCATATCTTATATTCAAAACTGAGATTTATGGGGAGTAAGTAAGTAAGTAAGTAAGTAAGTTTTTATTTATATACCGCCTTTTCACTGCAGAATTGAGTCTCAAAGCGGTTTACAATTGTTAATTTTGGGCATTTGTCTCTCACTCCACACAGAGATGGGAGCGGGGTCGCCAGTACAGGAGGCACATGCCAGAACTATTGGACATATTTTTAGTGGTAGGGGAAACCAGAGTACCTGGAGGAAACCTACGCAGACACGGGGAGAACATGCAAACTCCACTCAGAAAGGCCCTGGTCCGACCGGGATTCGAACCCAGGACCTTCTTGCTGAGAGGCGAGAGTGCTATCCACTCAGCCACCGTGCCGCCCCAGTGGAGCCAGTGGAGTTTACCGAGGATGGGGGTGATGTGGTCAAACCTGCGTGTCCTCGTCTGGATATTTACAGTCCATGGTCTGGACCCTGGCAGCACTGTTCTGAAGCTGCTTATGGGAGCTTCTGCCAAGGATCCCGACGAGGAGGACATTACAATAGTCCAGCCTAGAGGAGACAAAGCCGTGGGCCAGCTTCTCAGTATCACAGAAGGACAGAGAGGGGCGGAGTTTGGCCGTGCTTCTTACGTTCATAAACCACATACTCCACATTGTTGATCATTTGTTGAATGGAAATATCTGCTTCAGGCCTAGGAGTGAAGCCGTCTTGACTTGAACCTCTCTTGCTCAACTGTCAGCCTGAGGCCTTCTGCGTCCTCCTCTGTGTAAACCTTTCACGCTTTTCTTTGTTCTCCCTATGTCTCTCTCTCTGTCAAGACTGAATAAACACACTCTCTTTCCACTGAGCTCAGCAGCGGAGACTGACAGACCTGGCAGATTCCACCTGTGTTGCATCATGTTCTTGATGTTGGAAAATGGAAAAAGTGTCAGTGTTTGTGGAGAGCCTTCTGTGAAGCTGAACTATTGTGAACTCTACATATAAATACATATAGATACATATAAATATCTGATTGATTCCACAGTTAGAGATATGGGAACGTGTAATTGAAGTGAAATAGCAAAATATGTTTTCGACAAATAAAAATGTTGATATGGGTTGAATCCCAACCGGACGGATTCACTGGTTACGACCAAACACACCACAGAAAACAAGCTCAGTCTGCTTATGTGGCCAGGTCTGCAAGAACCTGAGAGGTCTATAGATCCACCAGACCTAGATGGTCCTGGAAAGGATAAAGTGAAGCAACACTCAGGGACGGTAGCTAATGCAACAGTTTTTGTTGTGCCTGTTACAGTTTCTCATCAGACGGAGGAGGAAACAGGAACCTCCAAGCAACACAAATCAACATTGGCGGGTTAAGTGGCCTGCTGCCAGCAGCAGGGAGTGGACCCAGCAGGATGAGGACGTGGGTGAGACCCTGGAAGCCAAGAGTGAGGCAGACCAAAAACTCCAAACGAGGCTCTCTCTCATAACGGGCATAGGAGCGGACCGTTTAGGGGTAGAAAAGAAGAAGAAGAGTTCTGAGATCCTGCAAAAACTCAATCGGCAGGAAGTCAAGATAAGCCAGTTGAGGCACGAGCTAAAATTCTTTGAGACGTCAATTTAAGGCAGGAGAAGAAGAGACCTGCCTCTGTCAAGACTGTCTGTCTGAACTCACAAACATCTCCCGAAAGAAGCTCATTGTGTTGAGGAGGGCCGAGGGGCATTGAAGGAAGGGAAGAGAAAGGGCAGGCAGGCTTTCATTGGAAATCCCTTCAACTTCACAAACAGACTTTTGGGCCAGAAGCAAAGTGGTCACCTGCCCTGTAGAAGAGATCAACCAACATCTCAGTGTCACCTTCAGTGACAATTCTAGAGAGCAATTGCTCAGCCCTTCTGAGACACTGGTGACCCTCTCAACAAGTGTCTCATTAGTGGTGATGCCAATAGTGGCAGAAGTCAAGGAAGTTGGGAAAGCTGCAAGAACTGGTTCGGTTCCAGGAACAAGCAGTGTACCCTACAAGGTCGACAAGCAGTGTTCTCAATTCCTCAAGTTCAATTCAATTAAATCCATTCATTCTGGCATATCCCTAAATCACAACAGTAGTCTTCTCAGAGGACTATTCAAACCCATTGAAACTGCCAACACAGATCATAGAATCAAACAGTTCAAACACAGAGAATAGAGGAATAATGTGGAACAATGCAGCCAATGTTTCCTCTGATAACTCTGGGTCAAAGTGAGATCCATCTTTCATTTCTCCTACAGCTGCGTTTTGACTCCAGTTTCCGGAAACGGTCACAAGGATTTTTTTATCTGCTTTGGAATCAGATCCTCAAGTAAAGATAAAGTTTAATTCTGAAAGCTACACAAATGTAATCAGAATCACCAAATCTACTTAGCAATTTATACTATAAACAGATACACTGAGAAAAGTCTTACTGTAAAACTTTCTAATCCAATATTTTGGTTGGGTATTGTTGACGT